GAATGCACCATGCCATTCTCTTGTGGCTTACAGAGTTTATGCTGAAAAATCAGCTGATAGTCTAATGGGATTTCTTTATATGTACCAAGTTATTCTCTTGCTGCCTTTAATATTTTCTCTTTTTCTTTAACTTTGACATTTGAATTATAATGTGTTATGCTGTGTAGCTCTTTGGGTTCATCTTTTTTGGAACTATCTGTGCTTCCTGGAATTGGATGTCTATTTCCTTCCCTAGGTTGGTTAAGTTGTCAGCTATTATTTCTTCAAATAAGTTTTTTGTCCCTTTCTCTTTCTCTTCTCCTTCTGGGACCCTATAATGTGAATGTTATTCCACTTGATGTTGTTCCAAATGTCCCATAAGCTATCTTCACTTTGTAAAATTATTTTTGTTACTATTGTTGTTGTTCCTTTTGGGTGAGTTCCACTGTCCTGTCTTCCAGGTTGCTGATCTGTTCTGCTTCATGCAAGCTGTGGTTGAAATTCTTTAGTGTATTTTTTTTTTTCAGGTCAGTTTTTCTATTCTTCACCTGCATGACTTCTGTTTGATACTTTGTTATATTTTCTGTCTATTTGATGTTCTTACCGTGTTCATCCATTCTTTTTCCAATTCAGTAAGCATCTTTATGACCACTACTTTGAACTCTTTGTCAGGTAAATTACTTATCTCCATTTCAACAAGGATTTTTTTTTCCTTTTCTGGATTTTATGTTGTTCTTTTTTGGGGGGCATATATTCTTGTTTTCTCATTTTGTTTTTCTTTATATTTCTGTTTCTGTGTATGAGGTACAATAGCTATCTTTCCCATTCTAGAAGGAGTGGCCTTGTGTAGGTGATGAAACTTTTTGTTCAACCTTGCCCTAATTCTTGGATGTCTCTTGAACTTTGTGTTTACCTACACAGTCTGATTTATTCTTAACTGGTGAGAGTACAAGTGTGGAATGAACAGGTTGGCATAGTGGGGTGCAGGAAGATATAGCATGTGGGCAGGGTGAGCCTGCTGCCTTCAGAGAGGCTATGGGGGAACCCAGAAGGACCCCAAGATAGGAGGGAGCTCACTGGCAATAGTAGGGCCACCAGAGCTTGTGGAAAGGGCAAATCAGGCAGCTGCATCAGGGCTATAGGATTACAGCTACTACAGGGCTATGTGGGGCAAGCCCTACAGTACTAGCAAGGTTGAATGAGAATGCACAAATGGTGCCACCAGCATCTTTTCCCCTGGAAAATGTTCTACCAGACACCTGTGTCTCCAGCACATGCTAACGAATATCCACTGCATATAGAACTGTGCTTTCCAAACTACCTTTATTGTTTTGTTTTGAGATTCCTGGGGTAAGTCTGTAAGACCTTTAAAAGCAACCTTTTCATTTCTCACAGCCTTTTGGATCTCTAACATATAATCCCTTTTGCTTTGTAGAATCAGATATTTTGGGTGTTCATCTCTCCAGTGTCAACCCCAAGGGTTGGGGTGCCTGATATGGGGTACAAGCCTCTCACTCCTCAGGGAGAAACTCCAAATTTGTGATGTTCCTCCAAATTGTGATTTGCCATGTTGACAGTAGGAATTTTGGCAAGATTATATTTCTGCTTCTCTTACCTGTCTCAATCCTTTATCCTTTGTTGTGGAGAAACTCTTAAGCTAGTTTTCCTGTATTTTTCAAGGGGAATTGATCCTTGCATAGCTGAAGATTTGGTGTGTCCATGGGAGGAGTTGAGTTCAGGATCTTCCTACACCACCATCTTGAACTTCCCCTCCATTTACTCAATATTTATTATACATTCTATGATAGAGGACTTTCTCTTTCCTCTTACAAGCTTATAGCTCATTTTTACTTTCTTGAATATATAGAATATATTCTAATAGTTATTTTAACAATCTTTTCTCCATTTCTATCATCTGTGTCATTTCTGGATCTTTCTAATTTATTGAATTTTCTCCTTGTTATGTGTCATATTTTCCTACTTATATACTAGCCTGGTAATTTTTGATTGAGTGCCAGGTATTAATGATTTTATGTTTTGGAGTACTGGATAGTCTTGTACTCTTACTCTGTTTTTAGATGTAGGAGGTAACTTGGGATGTGTTTGATCATCTGAGGATTGATTTTAGATTCTTTTAGTGGATCCAGAGCAAGCTTCATCCTGGGGTCAGCTTGGTTCCATTATTGAAGCAATATTCTTCTAAGGAGGTGACTTAATGTCCTGCATTTTAGGTCTTTTTACCCTGAGTGACTGAGAAGCAAATTATTCCTGGTTCTGGGATTGCTGTGTTTTATCTTTTCCAGTGGTTCTTTGCCTATGTTGGGAAAGCCTTTTTGGCATGGAGTCACAAATCAGTAGTTAAAGATTGGTTGGAGATACACTGCATATCTCTCTTCCCTCTTTCTTGTACAGTTGTCTTTTCTTATATTATCTGGTTCACAAATTCTATCTACTTTAACCTCCTCCAACTGAGAACTCTGCCTGGCTGTGCTTGGGTTCTCCCCCTACAAGCTACAGACTTGAAACTCTCCTCACATAGTAAGCTATGGTGGTCTTAAGAGGTCACTATTATGAGCTACTTTTTTATTAGTGTTTAAAAACTGTTAATTAATCAGTGCCTATTGTTTGCTCTTTACAATGGGAGGGTAGATATGGTCCCTGTTACTCCATTATGCTTAAAAGTGGAACTATCCTCTCTTCTTTATTATCTCCACTAATTCCCTGATTCTAATCCTTATTTTCTCATGCCTAGAAAAGGGGTACTTAGAGAAGTGGTTTACATTTTAAAGTATAGGCTTACAGAATTCCATCAGAATTCTTTGGGAATCTTTTTCAGACATGGGATTCCTCAGAAGTAGAGTGTGATTAATAGCAAGTGTATTCTATATCACAAGTTTATTAGGAGAGTGGTGTTAAAGAGCTATTACTTTGGTTATATCTCTTGCTGATATCTTTAAATTGAGCTTTTGAAGGAACGATAGTCTTTACACACAGATTTCCTCTAAATCTCTTCACGATCTCCCCATTCACTTCAGATCCCAAATCATACTTTTTTTTTCCCCATGAAAATTTCTGGAGTATTTTACCCATCATCTTTTTCCTTCTGTCCTACTATAGTATATCCCTCCTTGTCCCTACCTAACACAAAAAAAGTTATGATAAATTCATTAATGGGTTCTATCTTATCTTCAGTTACTGCTCTTAATGCCAATCATGTTACAAATTCTTCATGATAGGTAGCCAGGTCTCACTCATTTCCTATACTTCAAACATTTGGCATGATATTCCAAATGAGGTAGGAAAATAACTCTCTTTGTCAGAAAGAACATTAGAATTTAGTTAATCTACTGCTTATATTACTATGTAAATCTAATTTTCTTCATCTATGATTTCAGGGGTAGGAAAATCATATTTACAATTTTAGTTCTCTAATATGTGAATGAAGGTAAGAAGGACAATGGACATATGAGCTAATTGTGAGTTTTGAGCCAAGTTGAATATATAAGGAAAGTGTCTTATAGGCCATAAGTTGCTTAAACTTCTAGAGTATTATTATTATTGTTATTGTTGTTGTCCTACAAATTATTACTTTCTAATGATTAGAGTAAGAAATATATTGTATCACTAATTGCTATGAAAATTCTACTTATACATTATATTCTTGACAAAGTTGTTGAAACATTATTTTTGGATGTTATAAATTTTAGATTAATAAAAATATGAAAAGAATATTAAAAAATACAGAGAAATACTATATAGGTAGTATTAATATTTTATAGACTACTTTTGCACTCCACTCTCATGCAATTTTTGTACATTTCATGATATCTTTAGAGATGTCAATAGAAATGGGAAAAGTGGATATTAAATGAGCCATAGAAGGATAAGTATTATATTAGGATATGTGCCAATGCTTTCTGGAAAGTGAAACCAGAATTCACTGGAAAGATCATTTAGGGTATTGAAGAAATGTTCTCTCTCATTCTAGGAAATATTTGTTATAATTGTTTCAAAGATTTTTTTCTTTTCTTTTTTTTAAATTTAAACTTGTGTGGACAAATATATATCCCATCCCCTAAGGACAGATCCTAAACGTTTTACATTAGTGGGCCTTACAATCAATTCAGTCCTTCAAAATACCATTATAAGAAATAGAAGGAAAACTAAAGGAGAAAGAAAAAGAGAAGGAGGAAAAGGAAATGTAAATAAACTAGAACAGAAGGGAATAGACAGTATAAGAAGGTTTCACATATATTAAGGAGAATTGTAGAAATTACTTAAGATTTAAGTATGTTTAAGACATTTCTTACTGTAAGTTATAGAAAAAGTTTGAAAGACTTTTTTAAATAGATAACAAAAACTGGAAATGGAGGAGAGTGAAGACTGTTTCAACTCAGAAAGAACTTGGAAAATATTGAAAATTATTTATGTTTAAGAGGAAACATATTTAAGAATGAATAATGAATTAAATCATCATACTCAGGATAATTTCTCTAACTGCATTTGCCCATAATTGTTTCATTTTACCCTCTTATTGGTAGTGATTATTTGCAATATAAATTGGTAAAATATTTAAATTGAGTTTATTTTGAAACTGCTATAGAGGATGTTTCCATAGAAAGTCTCTTAAATGTATCCTAGGTACCTAGCAAATAAATATGTGTTGACTCACCGATACAAAAAAGTGTATATGGAATTAAAATCAGCAGCACAATTTTTTTTTTTGCTAATAAAGTAAAAATTGAACCAATGTGCTTATTTTGCCTAAGATCAGTGTTAAGATTTCAACATAGCTCAAATATTATTCTTGATTCTGAGTTTAAGCAATTTTCAATTATAATTTCAATATCTAGTAACTTGAATTTTACTGGATTACTAAAAGTATACTTGTGATTGGAATATAGCTTTGTCTATCCAAATCCATGTAATGATTGACAACTACCGATCAAAAAATTGAATACAATCTCCTCCTGAGTTATGAAGTCAGATTTATGAAGATCAACCTCTGCTTTCTTCTTTAGGAATGGCAAGTTCATTGAAGAAAATGAAAAGTACATACTGAAGGGAAGCAATACAGAACTCACTGTCAGGAACATAATTAATAGTGATGGGGGTCCTTATATCTGCAGGGCCACAAATAAAGCAGGAGAAGATGAAAAGCAGGCATTTCTCCAGGTCTTTGGTAAGTATTATAGCATAGTGGTTAAAATTATGATATCTAGAGGGAAGTCTGAGTCAAATTCTACTCTGTCACTTATATGTCATTAACTTTCTAAAATTAAATCTGTTTTCTCATCTGAAACATATTTTAGCATTGCAGCTACCAGATAGAATTATTTGAGGAATTACATGAAATATGAATGTATATTCTTATAAAATATTGGATGACTAATAACAGAAGATGGAAGAAAATTCCTTTAAATTACACATAACTGGGATCTGTTATAACTTATGGATCATTTATATTTACATATATATATATACATACATATACATATATATATATATATATATATATATATATAGGTTGGTCTTCATAAATCTTTATGTGACACATGTTGAGATTAGTTTTACTTTTAATATACTTCAGAACAACACATCTGTAAGCTAAAATTAGGAAATATTGACCTGTAACCATAAGAAATTACTTTTCTTCATTCTATTAAAAGGGTATATAATATGAATATCTTTCATATTTACCAAAAGCTGTATTGTTTTCTTTGGGGAACTTACAGAAAGTGGATAAGGAGTAAGGTGTTTGTTTTTTTTTAATTGATTTAGCTTCCATTATGTTTGTAAGAAGAAAACCAGTTTTACTTGTGTATTTGGAATATGTCATTGTCTTTAAAAAGCACAACACAAAATTATATGCATTAATAACATTTAATATGTTTTCTCCATTTTTCAAAACACTGTTATCAAAATTCTTTCACAACAAAAAGAGGAAGTGGGAAGAAAGGAAGGAAAATTCTGTGAGAGTAAGAAGGACCATAGTTCATGTAAAGAAAAGAGTAAATAAACTTAAAATTGTTAGAAATCATAAAAAGTTGTTAACTTATTCTAACAGTATTCACCACTTAACAAGATTGTTCTCTTTAGAACCTACACTAAATAAATATGACTCAGTATAAAAAATTATTAATTACTAATAATAGTTTCTGAGATAATCCTAAAGAGTAGATATTCTCAATTTACATCAGAGAGCCATTATGAAATACTAATCATTTTTTTATTAAGATGGCAGTGAGTGAGAACAAAGAGATAAAAGAAAGATTCTAATATTTTCATCTTTTCAAATGGAAAATACTTCATGATATGCTACATCACTGTTGTAATCACTTTTTTATAGTAACACTAAACAAATTTGCATTGTGCTTGAAACAAAATCGAATATATATAGTAGAAATCCAACTAAATCCATTAAAGTCAATGGAATAAACACTGAATTGTTAAAAATTATACATTCCATATTTCCAATATTTGAAAACTAAGTTTCCAAGATGAAAAGCAATTTATTTATATCCCATGATCAGTTGCATTTAAAGATTAAATAAAGTGTTACTTTTCTGAAATACCATGTGCTGGCTTTCATCCCTTTTAAGTTCTACCATGTAAAAATTTAAGAAATGCAGATAATACTGATTTTATAATTGTAAAGATCTGTGGTATCATGCAAATTTGTGGATGGACATATTTTTAATATAATGATAATTTAAATTAGCAGACATAATGTTTTCTCTCATTACTGAAGTCATAATTACAATGAAATGATTAGTTACAATGCCTAAAATTTTGTTAAAATAAACTGAAGTAAAAAATAAGTTAATTGGCATAATGTAAGAATCTAACACATATATACTTACTTCATAAATATTTTAAATATTGTGCATAATTTTACTTACTACATATTCAAGATACAATCATCATTTTCCTTCTTGGGCGGAATTATTTTTAAAACTTAAGAGATAATCACTAAATAAGCAGATGTTACACATGAACACTTACACACACATAAACTTAAAATCACCATGTGGCTTTAAAAGAGGAAATTTTAATTTTGTAGATTTAAGAGAGGGAAAAATAAAGGTCTTTTGAAATTACAAAGTTTCAAAAGGAATTATAATTTGTATGTTGGCTTTTAAGCCACTTCAAATTTTTTTTTATGATAATCGATGAGAATTATTTTCTAAAGCTTTTCCCCCTGTACTTTGTGAGTCTCTTGGCACTCCTTTAATGCAAAGTGTGCTGCTGTAACTGTTAAAATCTTAGTAATTCTATACTGTACTAATGTGAACTTAAGTGCCCACTGCGGCTTTTAAGTCTGAATAGTGATATTTTCCTCCCATACAGATTGAGTAATGTATATATTCTTTACAGTACAGCCTCACATAATACAGCTTAAAAATGAGACTACGTATGAGAATGGTCAAGTCACACTTACATGTGAAGCAGAAGGGGAGCCTATACCAGAAATCACTTGGAAAAGAGCAGTAGATGGCATCACATTTTCTGAAGGAGATAAGGTAAAAGGATCTCAATATATAGTGATTTTCAATACCATTGTATTTTCAGAGTTTTGCACATTACTAAATCTCACATTGGACTTCGGTTTACCAAGTAACTTGTAGGAATGCAAGAAATGGTTGAATTTTTCAAAAGGTAATGCTACCACACTCAGCCCGAAAATTAGTGGAGAAAAAAGTGAAAGTGTAATATTTAAAGATGTTTTTCATTATGTCACAAAATTTTAGGTTGTTGATATTCTTAAGTTTTCTTACAGGGAATTTGGCATACATGGAATTTATAAGTTATTGCAATTTTAGCTCCCCACCTCATGCTGTGAAAATGAGAGTCATCCCAGTTGACCAAATTCTGCTGTCATCATTAACTCTTTACTCTTTAGAATTGTCTTGTGCAGTGCAAAGTTAGGTGTCACCTTCACGAGGTGGGGATCCTGGTGATGAGAGCTGAAATGATGGGGGGACTACTGACTGATGATCAGTAGACGTCTTTATTTCTTACAATCACTTCTTTTATACCTTCCACAAGATCCGATGACAAACAAGATATAGATTTATGTGCAGGGTGTTGGCTACATGCGAGATGTGATTTACGTGCAGGCAATCAAGTGAGACAAATGAACAACAGGGATTATCTCTTAGCTTTAAATGACAGGAGCAAGTTAGAGATTCTCCACACTTATCAGATCTATCTCAAGGAGGACATGAAAACACTCCAGGGATCCTCCCATGTTTATTCTGGGCCCAGGAAGACTCTTGCCCTCCATCTCCTGGAGTTTTCTCACAGGGTTTGACGCGACCCCAGTCACACTGGTGAGTATCTGGGTTGTGTTTCAACAGTTAGGTTTGCTTTCATGTAATTTAGAATCTAATAAAGAGAAATAAACACAAACAGAACAAAATACAGTACTTTGGTAATTGTCAGTCGCATGTAAATGGGCGACCTGTCACCAGAATACATTTACATTACTAATTAATAATAGATTTTCATTATTGCTCTTTTTAATAATTATTCACACAAAACTCCAAAGTATGGACAAAGTGAAACAGAAAGAAAAAGATAGTGAATTAGTGATAAAATGAATTGACATTTCACATGTGTAAAAGAGGGTAAGATTAAGCTTACCAATATCTTTTCTTAATATTAATATTAAGAAATATTTCTTATATTAATATTAATATAAAGGAGAGAAACTCCTTTAAGCTTTTCATTAATTTAAATCAAGTCCTTCAAAAGACAGTGATTTCTACAATTTAAGTACCTTAAAATTTGAAACCAATTTATCTTAAAGACAGTTTCTATCCCTCCAACTCATCATGTAGTTTTGAACAACATGCTAACTCCATAAATTGACAAAACAGCCATCTCCCTAGCTATTTACTATTTATTCTTTGTAAGAATTGTATCCACATATATATGTATATATGTATGTATCATATACATCTATATAAGATATACATGATATGTATTCCTATATATATATCTATATATCATACTTTGCTTCATTTCCTCCTCATGATGGCATTTTTAAGAGAGTATATCTTTTTTGGTAATAGTTAAAATATTTTGATATACTTATTTTATATATACAAATTAAAAATCAAATTTATAAAATATCTTCTGGAAACCCAGAGAAACCATACAGACTTTGCTTTAACATTTTCTTAACAGAAAATCCTAAATATTATTAAGGCACAATTGTCAAATCTGAAAGGAGTTATATTTCCATAAAATTATTTTAAATTATAAAAAAATAGATATAAAAGACTGTAGGTAATTGTTTTCCTGCCAATTTAGTACATTTCTTTAGATCTCTCAAGAATAATGATTTTCATGTCTACAAGCTCTTATTAATTATACCTTCATATTCCTAACTCATGCTTTCCTTATATTCTTGACCACTGTAAAATTCCTAAAAGTTCTTGTCTTTTTTTTTTTTTTCACTAGTAGCTGTTGATCAATTTGATGTGAAGTTACTTCAAAGTATGGGACAGGAATTTGCATGTCATCCCTATGCAGGGGTCTTACTTATCTTCTCTGTATCATTCCAATTTTAGTATATGTTCTGCCAAAGTGAGCAAGCCAGCACCTGAAAATTCTCACCTTAAAATAGTGTTTACCCTTCATTTAACGGATGTTTCCTTATGTGTATACCAAAAATGAGAGATGCATTATATCCAGTTATTTTATTATGAAAAGTTATCAAGTGACCAGAAGGCTGTGACATTTTTTTCTATTGTAAACCCTAGGCCACCCAAAACTATATTAAGAAATTTCTTCTCTAGTAGTTATGAAGAATAATCAACTAGTTTTGTTTGAAAAGAATCATCTCTATTAAAATACTCTTTTTATTTTTTATTTGGTTTATTTTCTACAAAACAATTATAGAAAACCATATATGCTTTTGTTTTTCCAAATGTAACTTCTATCCAGTGGGTAAAGAAATGAAGGTTATTCACTTCCTATCATGACATTTCTCCTAAATTATTTTGATTCATATCTTATTTTCTGCATAGTAAGCCTCATTTCTCATTACTAGTTTCTTCAACAACTAAAATTCAAAAACTGAATGGTTGACCTGAGCTTTGAAGTAAGACATACCTGGTTTGAATCTCAGCTCTGCCATCTGCCAGTATTATCTGAACTCTTATTAATATGAGTTTCTTCATCTTTAAAATGTGGATAATAACATTTACTTCCATTAAAGGTAGAATAAATCTGGAAGTAGTCCTAACCCTTTACATTTTGTAAATATTCAATAAACTTTATTTTATCTTTGTTATATTATTTGTCATATTACATAATTTTTAAGGCATAGTTTATCTTGTTTGTTATTCTGAATAAATTCTAGTTGTTAATAGACTCCACAAAGTCTGGTACCTGAGGTTTGATTAAACACTATCACGGAATATATTCAGATCATATCTCTTGTCATGGAAAGCATGAGATTATATTTTCCGCAAGAATCACTTGGAGAGCCTGTTAAAATGCACCTTCTAGAATCCCACTCCCTGATGTTGATTTAGTATGTCTGATACAGGACCCAGAAGTACCTATTTAATAAACTCATAAGGTTGGTATCACATGGATTGACTTCAGGCCATACTCTGGAAAATAATTCTCTAAGTCATATGAAATTTAACATCTAATCCTGTCAACAGAAAAGTGCTCTTAACAGATTACTTGGCACCTGATAGAGGCTTGGAAAATATGGAACAAAACAAATCAAAACTTCCCATCATGTATACACTATCAATGTTTTGATGAAACTGCTCATTCTGTAGCCCATAGTGAAATAGCATCAGTGTAGTGTGCTCATACTAAAAACTTAATCCCAAAATATGGCAGTGCACTTAGCACATATGTTCATCAGTGTAGATTTTCAAAGGATGGGGTCTCAATTAATAATATCCCCTTTCCTTACCTAAATTTTCAATCACTAGTTAAGACAAAAAAAATAAATATAGATAAAATGTCATGTGACTTAAACCAGCAGGTAAGTGAATGTTCTTATACCGAACCAGAGAATTAGATAGACTTACCCAGCACAGTCCTGAGTAGCATTAGACCTTGTAGCCCCCCACTGTGAGAGAGTAGATATCACTGTCAAGGTTACCATCATGGCTGAAAGCAAGGGAGAACCTCGGGTCTCTACAGGAAGGTCCTTTCTGAAAATAAAAGAAGAGAGAAGCTAAGAAAAACATATTCAGTATGATCAGTATGATACCCTCATAGTTACTTACCCATCAAACATCTGCCTGGTTCTTATGGGGAAGAGTAATTAAGGAGTTGGAAAGTCCAGAACTGGTATGTTCACTAGCTCCCTTCCCATGGAATAAATGTTAGGAATCCATGAGAAGTGTTTACTGCCCAAAAGAGCCTTATGTTAATAACATCTTAATAAGCACTGTATATACATTTTCACAACTTAACTTCTGATATTCTTACTGCATGCTAAATGGCCCCAAAACAAAGTGGAACAAAACAGCCATTTTCTTTTGTTCATGATTTTGTGGATCAGGAATTTGCAGAGGCTCAGCAAAGGGGACATCACAAGGCACTTCAACTGTGATCACATGTGTATGTTTTCTGTATCCATAGTTTTGTAGAACAATTGAACTATGTATATTAGTATACCATAAAATATCTTTGCATAATATGGCATCCTTCAGAAGTCACAACAAAAAGTGGGGTCCTTAAATACATTTAAACTCATGACTGTTTCATCCAACCCACTATAATGCATCTTATCTATATTTAAAATAGTGTATGAAATTTTAACAACTTCAGAAAATTTCAGAAATATGTATAATATGTAAGAAAACGAGTATTCACTTGCTTCAAAAATACTTTCTTAGTATCCATTGTTATTTCAAAATAACATTTTGTTCATCATTTTATTGTTAAAGAAATTTCACCTTTTTCACTTTTAGTTACCCATTTATTGAAAATTTCTAGACAGTTTACTGCAATTTAAGTATTATTTATGATTCTCTCTAAAAATATTGATTTACCAGGGTTATCCAGAAATTCATTACACTTACAGATTAATATTAGCACTTTATTTTGGAGTCATCTTAAAATACAATTGTTTATAAAAATCAGAAATCCCTAGCTTCTTCGTTAAATGGATACTATACATATAATCTTAATAATATTTAAATGTTATGTAATAAAGTTTAGGACAAAACCAAAGCTACTGTTTTAGAATATAAAATAGCCATGAATTGAAAGTTATAAATTGTTTTTTTAATTAAGAAACTAAGCAATCTAATTTTTTATACTAAAATCTTTATTTAAAAAAAAACCCTGGGGCGCCTGGGTGGCTCAGTGGGTTAGGCCTCTGGCTTCTGCTCAGGTCATGAGCGCAGGGTCCTGGGATCGAGTCCCACATCGGGCTCTCTGCTCAGCTGGGAGCCTGCTTCCTCCTCTTTCTCTGCCTGCCTCTCTGCCTACTTGTGATCTCTCTCTCTGTCAAATAAATGAATAAAATATTTTAAAA